GAGTGGGAGATATTGGAAGAAAATTGATCGCCCATGTAGGCTGACTCGACCCGACCCGGATTATATGAGAGTGTTATTGGAGGGAGAAGTTGAGGAAGTTGGAGTTCATTGAATTTGAAACTCAACTCCTCACAACCCACAACTCTCATATACAACTTCCACCACAAAAAGAAAATATATGCATACTCAAAATTTGTATGAAAATCAAGAGAAAAAAATACATGTGGTTGGTTCTTGGATTGCGGCTATCAAATTTCTTCCTTTGTGATCAAATTTCCAACCAAGGAGTGAGTACAAAGCAGTGTAGGAGACAAGCAAACCAAAGGCAAGTGATTCAACCTCGTTTTGGTGGTTTCAAGTAAGTTTTATGATTTGAATTTATGTTAGAAACGAGCAAGCATGTTTTACATCAACCTTAGGGAATGGAATCTTAACTAGGGTTATGGAAGTAGCTAAATGAAAAGGGATTTTTAGGAGACGATCAATATTTCTGGGAGTAGAAGCAAAAGAGATTTTGTGGCCCTTTCGAGCTATGAATTTGGAGAGCTCAAAGAACGGAATGATATGCCCAAAAGCCAGCCATGGGAACATCACTACATGTAATTTGGAATCCATTGTTGCAGTTAGGGGTGGGCATAGGTTGAGTTGTGTCGATTTTTACCTCAACCCAACATGATCGGTTTGATCATAATTTAACCCAACCAACCATGTGTAAAGGTTGAAACCCAACCCAATCAAGTAGCGGTCAGGCTGGGTTGGGTTGGTCGGGTTGTGACAACTTGTCAACAAAAACTAAAGTAAGCGAGTCGGGTTGAATGGATTTATAATTGATTCATGACTTTTATAATATTTGGTCTTCATAGTTGCAATGAACAAAAAAATCTAAATTATTTTGACACTTCATGCCCGAAAATGTTACATGGACATATTGATATTAAATTATATGAAGTCAAGAAATATTTTTGTGTTGAATAATATTTGCTTATACTATTTTTCGTAAAATGCATTCTATCCAAATCTTATAATATTATTCTAAGAGTTTCAAATAATATCATAACACTTGTAAAGTTCATAAATATAATCGGGTTGGGTTGAACGAGTTTATTCAATTTTTATGAGTTAACCCATAACCCGACCCGACCCGACCCAACCCAACCCAACCCGTGTAAAAATAACAAAAAAACCAACCCAAACCGGTCGGGTTGGTTCGATATGGACGATTTTGACGGGATCTGTCGAGTTTTGCCCACTCCTAATTGCAGTGGTTGGAATTGAAAAGTGGTGAGGGAGTGAGCGATGCAACTCAACTGAGCTACTACCCAATTTAAAGGGTCATCTAAATGCATTATTTTATTATTATTCCTTCGAAAATAAGAATCTTGTGGTGCTTTGCTTGCAATGGTGGAAGAAGAAGTCCTCATAATGATGCGTAAGCAATTTTAGACTTTTACTAACTCATCAGACGGTAATATAAATATCCATAATGACGTTTCTCATTATAGCATGTTTGATTTCTATCAATACATAATAAGGGGTGGAGTCGAACCAAATCAAGAGCATCCATTCTTCTTAATTTATAAATAAATTAGAATTGATTTGATTTTCGAATATAATCCTAGTTCTATTCAATTTTCTTTAAAATCTCTGTTTATAAATTTGACCATATCAGTGAAAACTTAAACTCTGAATTTATTTAAGCCTAATATTGTAAAATAGCACATTCTTCAAGAGCTACCTCATGACTCCTTGATCCCACCAACTTGTCATTTTAGCCCTATTTTTTTCTTTTCCGTTTATACATTCTTTATAAAAACGTTAACGGGCGATTTATATTATGCAGTGCAGTGCATGAGGACTTGGAAATTGCCAGCAAAACACGTAGAACAACAGGGACAAAAAATGATTTATACCTTTGACTCGTCCAACGTTATGGTGTTCTATATTTGTACTATTTTAGTATTTTAAGATGTTGGCATAAATCTATGGGTTATTAGCATAGAACATCGAAGTTAAGTTCGGAGTTTGGTGTGCAAAATATTTTTATGTTTCATTTTATTGTATTTTCACCTATATTTAGAACCTTTTATTGATGAAATCATTATTTTCATCTAATTTTTCAATAAAATATGTAAAATGACAAATATGCTCTCTTATTTAAATAAAGCAAAAAGAAAAAAAAAATAAAGAGTTAATTGCAATCGTAGTCCTAAATTTTTTTTAAAGTACACACAAGTCCTAAATAAATTATTAAAAATTGAAAATAAAAATTAGTTTTTTTTATAAGTTTCAAATAATTTATTTGAAACTCATTTGCACTTTTTTAAAAAACAAATTGGGAGTATGATTGCAATTAATTTTTTATTTTTATTTTATTTTTTGTTTTATTTAAATAGAAGAGTATATTCATCATTTCACGTATTTTTACTTAGCAATTGGATGAAAATGATGATTTTCACAATAAAAGTTGTAAATATGGATGAAAATGTAGAAAAATAAAATATAGGTGCGTTTTGCACAATAAATTCCAAATGTTAGGACGTTTTGTGCCAATAACCCTAAATCTTTTATAAAAAATTGACCAAGATTTTGATCCAATTATGGCTAAAATATGGAAAATTCATGAAGGATTAAAAAATAGTGGATCACGTAAATTGTATAGATAAAATTAATTATTGACATTGATTTAAATTAAAATCTAAATTTTACTTTTTACCAAACAAGGACTCTAACGCCCCCGACCCGCATGGATCAAAACATCCCTAGATTAATTGTACTTTAGCTGTAAACTCAATAATTAACTATACTTTTAGAGAAAACCATAAATATTTAATTTAAGAATTTGTTTCAAGAATTATTTAATTCTAATTAATATCATTTCATATTAAGGAATCATCTAATATTTTTTTAAAAAAAAATTCATATTATTAACGTGAAATTCTAGGCACAAAAAGAAAAATAAACGTTGCTCTTTTTGCTTCTATCTCATACGGCAATTGTCAAAAATAAATCCGTTTGCATAGCTATCGATCCTGAAATTTCATAAAATTTTATATTATAGTAGGAAACTCTTTATAATATGTCATATCCAAAAATCAGCTTCCTTCGACAATATATGAAGTATTAAAATATTTTTCAAAACCCCGCAGGGACTTGGTTTGGAAGGTAACCCAGCGCAGCTTACTTAAAATGACATATAAAATTCTATAGATGTTGGATCGACTTGATTTCAACTTTATTCAGTAGCTAATCCATGAGGCTATCAAAATCCACTGGTTTTGTCCAAAAATTCCAAGTATCGAGTGAGTTATGAATTTTCAAAGTCAAGACAGTAGCTGAAATTTTAAACAAACAGCAACATTAAATCGCTAACATTTTTTTTTTGGTAAACGGTGACTTGTAAGTTAATTTGCATAACACATATCTATTTTTAAACATAACTTATTCATAATAATATTCTTAGAATAGTTCCACATATGAAGTTCATAGAAATCTGTTTAAATAAAAAAAAAACATTTCATAATCGAATTAAAACATTAAGTCACCAACTTCTCCATAACATGTTGCATTATCCTCTACCATCATCCACGCCCCAAGCAAATCAAATCAACTTGTAGGAAGGGAATTAACCAATGAGTTTGAAACTCAATAGATATCATTGGTCCATTTCGTTATCAAATTAGAAATTTTGAACTATGGATTTGTACCATCGCACGAAAGATTTTCGACGAAATCCAATTTCTATAGAATTATCATAACGTGTAGAGTCGAAAAATAACCATTCAAACTATAAAAGTGCCAAAAGCACCGTACCTGGATGTACCAATTCATTCAATCTTTTAATGAAAAATCATAATTTGAAAATGAAATAATCACTTGCACATCTACCTACCTTTGTTTGAAACATCTTAATTATTCACCATTAAAGAAACGTTTATGCCACTTTTATTCCTCTGTGTGTGTGTTGTGTGTGTGTGTGTATATATATATATATAATATTTTTATACAACTTATTTAATTAATTAAATAAGGAACTAACAAATACAAATATGCAAATAACAACTTTAAATCTTCTTTTACTTATAAATTGGTCCTTTTGAAAAATAACGTGTACAAATCAAATCTTAAAAATATTTACTATCCATAAATCAAACTAGTATTGGGCTTTCATTTCTTATGTAGGCCGAGCATATGGCTCGTCTATGGGCTAGGCTCGTGGTGATAGATCATCACATAAAAAAATATGAGCCTAATTTAATTTAGGGACTTCTACACGGACTACATTAGTGTTTATCTTTGAAATAGGAATAAGGGAGACATATCCACAATAGGCACAGTACATTTATGCATATGCTTTGGGTAAGAGACTACGCACGTGTTATTATAACCACCCGTGAGTCTAGCCAACATTTGATGAAAAATTATCGTAAACAAAAAATTTACGAGCCCTGAGTCTAGCCAACATTTGATGAAACGGCCAGCATGAACGGCCTCACGTGGTGGGGCTGAGTCAAACTCGACAATAGAGAGTTTAATGACTCAACTTGATTCATTTAACATCATTAGATGTGATTGACCTATCGAGCAAAATTGATTTTTTAAAAAATTAATTCATATTACTGATCGAACAACCTTACTAATATAATCATTTCACATATAAAATTTTAACTGCAAAACTTTAAATCATAAATATAACATAACCTTGGAAGGTTGCTCAATTGGTCAGGTCTTGTGTTTGCTCCCCAATGGTCACCAATTCGAGTCCCCTCAGGGTCACTGAGATGAATATCCGGCCGTAAACTTCAGGGCCCCGTGGGATTAGTCGAAGTGCGCGCAAGTTGGTCCGAACATCCACGGTTATCAAAAAAAAAAAATAATAATCATAAATATAACATAAGACACCCAAATTGTAACATTTCAACATTATTGGAAAATTCCTAGTGCTCCAAATAAAAACAAGTCGAGAATTATGATATTCTTCTAATGGTTCAACCTATGGAAAATTATCCACTGGTACCACTTAACACAAACCTATGATTTTCAAGAAAATTAATGAAATTATCAACGTAGCTATCGTGTAATATTTTGTTCCCAAATATTTCACTCATTTCTCTTGCTCTCTCTCTAAATTTCTTTCCCTCATCTTCAATCATTACCAACTTTATCGAGTCAGACACAGAGTTCTTCGTATATGATCCATCCTCGTCGCTTTTCGGGATTTCTATCCCAAACTGCTTGTCAGCAATCATTCTAGCATTCAAACCTTGATCTGCCAGAAAAGGTAAGGCAATTAATGGATGACCAAAAGTGAGTCCCTCTATAAAAGAACTCCAACCGCAGTGAGTCAAGAATGCACCCACCGACTCATGACTCAATATCTTTACCTGAGGTGCCCAACTTTTCCACACCGTACCCCGACCCTTAACTCTCTCCTCGAACCCGTTTGGTAGAACTACCGAGCTGGAATCGTCGGACCGAGATGGCTTCCTCAGCGCCCAAAAGAAGGGTACACCAGATAACTCCAATCCAAGAGCTAACTCATTGATTTGATCTTGACTCGGCGTCACCTCGCTACCTAATGCTATGTAAACAACTGACTGTTTGTTTTGATGATCAAGCCAAGTTTTGATTGAAACCCATGATTGACTGTAATCTTCTTCCACTTGGGGTGGCATTAAGCCTACTGGAATCACTGGCTTATGGTGAAGCTCTTCAAGTAATTTCAACCAATCCGATTCAAACTCGTTGCAGTGTCTTATGAATATAACCTCGGACCCATGAATTACTTTACCTCCTCGATAAGTGTCTGAAAATCCTGAGTCATTCGTCTGAGCTGACGCGACGACCCAGTTGGCTTCATATCTTCGATAAGCCACTTTTGTCTCAAATCGAACCCACTTTGGTGGAATCATGAACTCTTCGGCTTCTTTCCTCTCATCACTACCGTTAATCAAGATCTCAGATGGTCCAAAGAAAGCTAAAAACCATGCATTAATGATCATAAAAAAGGCACGAGAAATTCCAAGTCTTTCTGCAACTGGAGGCAACCAGTGTGGAGCGAAATCGTAGAGAATCCAGTCTGGAAGTGAGTTTTCCAAGAAACGAGTCAACTCAGTTTCCATTCCATCATATGCTTTCTTCAAATAGGGTATATCTTCATTCCTGATATCCATGGTTGCCTCTGCAGATTCAGGGAGTCCTTCAACTTTAGGCAGTGGAATCTTAACTAGGGTTATGGAAGAAACTAAATGAGAAGGGATTTTTGGGAGACGATCAATATTTCTTGGAGTGGAAACAAAAGAGATTGTGTGACCCTTCTGAGCTATGAATTTGGAGAGCTCAAAGAATGGAATAATATGCCCAAATGCCAACCATGGGTACATCACTACATGTAACTTGGAATTCTTGGCCATGGATCCAGATTCCATTTTTGCAGAAATTTTCACTTTGGAATTGTACAGAGAACTCAACTCAACTGAGCTATAGCCCAATTTAAAGGGGCATCTAACAAGAGCACATGCATTAGTAAACAATGCTACACGTACACAGAAAATGCAACCACAGAATTCATAAAGACCCAATAGAGGGGTGAGTGGTTTTTTTTTCAATATTTTAATCACATAGGGCCCACCTCATATGAGTTTTTGAATTCTATTGGCAGAAATCTATCTTCCCAAAAATAAACTGGAGAATCATTGATTTCGTGATTTGGTGTGACTTGATTTTTTTTAATCGATAAATATGAATTATATTGATCAAAAATCATATATAAGTACACTGCTTATTCCCGGACGAAACATCAATCATATGGGGTATACAACTACTCCGGACATACGTGAGCAAACAAAAGAAAACAAAAGGAAAATGATGTACAAACTATATGAATTAGTGATCCATAGCTAATGACTCCCAATGAATCAAAACATGAGGATACAAAGAAAACATGACTTTGTATACGTGTATTTTAGTCCGTTGAATCATTATTTGAATGATGGAAGAGCTGACGTTTTACTTGATAACGATGCATAAATAGTTAGATTAGATACTACAAAACACGGAGACAAATGGGACAAAAGAAATATATCGTCTTACAATCCCACCGGCCGGCTTATATATATATAATTAATAGAGACTCTAATTTTGTATTTATTGGAGATAGATCATTAATTGAATACATCCCATTAATTAGTTATAGATCATTGGAGACAATTTATTAATTGTGTACATCCTAATTTTGTATTAATTTGAATAATTTCTTCTTTACTCATTTTCAGTTTACACAATGCCGCGGCACGCAGACACCACATTTCGTCACGTCAGTGGAGGAGACTATTTCAAGATAGAAAAATAAAATTTACCGGTCACTTAAAAAGCATTTAAATTAGTTTTTTACCTTATTTTTGATGAATTATTTGTGTTTTTCACAAATAGAGGAAAATCTAATAAAGATTCATTGAGTATTAAACGGTTAATGGTTGCATGTAAAAGTAAATGTAAAAGTTTTGCATAATTCATCCTTTATTGTAGGGGTGTGCCGTCAAAACTACTACAATTAATTTAGTGAATCATTACTATTACTTATTAAACAATCTTTTGTATGGAATAAAAACTGATTTGTGTATTCAAATTATGACTATATTTTGTTTGTTAGTTTGGACTTTTGTGATCTTGATGGTTGATAAGTTGAACTTGCTGAATGTTTACTATTTATTTTTTTTTATTTGGGTATATATTACTAAGTTAAAAGTTTTAAAAATAAAACTAGAACCAAACCAATCAAATTAGAACCGAACCGATCGATTCGATTCGGTTCCATATCTTAAAAAAAATCATTTTGTATATATATATATATATAACTATTGGTTCATAATTCGGTTCGATTTTTATGGAACCAAAACATAATGAAATCATGTCCACCCCTAAGTACTGGATACAATTGATGTCTTCAAATATATCTCGTACTTAATTTAGATTATATTTTTCAAAAAAATAAAAATGAAAGACTAAGTTAAATGAAGGTTTGATGGTCTATATTTTGAGAAAAAAGAGTTTTGAATAGTAACATTTTGGATAAAAAAAAAAGTAAGAAAAATGTTTGAATTTACGTACAAAATATTTTATTGAATAAATGTGTAATTGAAAATGAATATAAAAATTAAAGAGTTTTGAAACAATGGTGGTCAAACAAGTGCGAAATACGTATAGATCTTATATATAAATTTCTGAAAAGATAAAATGTGAGAATTCATATATTTCAATTAATAGATGAATTTTGAATTTAAAATGTACTTTAACTTTAAACTTATAATTATATTTTTTGTCTATTCGAAAAACGAAAAGGAAGTTTTGTTTCACTTCTCGATCCTGCAATGATCAATTCATTGAACTAGTACTGCTAACCCGATGACTTTGGTTAGTTTATGATTGTGCTTTAGGAAATTCAAAACATACTCCAAAAATATTTTAAAATTTTATTTTTTCAAATAAGTTTAAACATATAGGTATCTTTGTATAAATGACTTTGCCATTTGTACACTGAATTTATACACTTTAGTTGACACTTGCATTATTGTCAACAATGCATTGGAAGAAAAAATTGTTTAAAACTTAAACTGTCTAATTGGATAATGTCACGTGACAAAGTATAAATGAAAACGTACACCAAAGTGTAAATATAGCAAGGTTCATAAATATAAACGACAAATAGATCAAATCATATGGTAATGTTTTTATCAATTATTGAAATTATGATAATTAAGAGAGGACAAATATTACCTCTATTTAGTGCATATACTAATTTTGGAATTTAATAATTCATAACTTGATTGATGCAACCACAATTAGCATCAATTTTTTTTCTAATAGTAATTACAAAAAATGTTGGATAAATTAGTGCATAACTTATATTCCGCTAATGAAAATAAACGTGCATGTAGATATGAATAAAGTAATGGCTTACCTAAACTATGGTATGTGCATAATAATGAGCAAATCATGACTTACTCAAACGTAGAAAATGTAAAAATACGAAGGAAATGAAATGAAGCGAGGTACGCAAATACAAATCTCCTTAAAGCGGATTTCGTCTATGCATTGATGCTAACATGATCAAATGAACGTCTGTCTCCAAAGATACAACACTTCTTCCAAAATTAATAAAGCACAACATTAATTTTGTTTGACAAACCAACGTTTGACTGTACTTTTCTAGAATGAAAGATATCAAATAATAAATATCGAACACGAAACTTAAAATAATATGAAAATTATTTGACAGAATTCCAAGAAAGAAAGAATTAGAAATCAATCATTAGTAACTTATTTGGAGTAGGAAAAAATGGAACTGAATGTCTTTATTTATAGATTTGTATGTGTCACCTTGAAGGGTCACATTTTTGGCCAAATTAATTCTAATTATTAGATAATACAATTTCAAAATTGATAGTCTAGATCGCACCTTATCAAAAGATCACACTCATTTAAATCGACTCTTTGATATGCACCATTTGAATTGAAGAGTTGCACATATTGATTTTTTTTCTAATTCACACATTTTAATCTTTTTATATACTATTAAATTCTAACAAAAAAGAGCAATAACATTTCGTGAAGTTAACATCCAAATGTCGAATTTAAAACTCTCAATAAAACATTATTGTACTGAGAAATTTTAATATCAAAGACACTAAAACAATTCACTTTTATTTGAAAAGTATATGTAACTAAAAAACATATTTAAATCTTTCTTCAATACGAGAGGTCATACTTGGACAAAACTTATCATTCATCGAAACTTCGTGACGTGCGTAGGTTTTATAAATAAGTAAGAGCAAGATATAAAAAGAGTACTCAATTATATCACCAAACTAGAGAAATTTTGTGATCGAGAACCATTGAAAAACAAACAAACCGTGTGCTTTGTTTCTATCTGGTCATTTTCAAATCTTTTTTATAGTTGCTGTTTGGCCATTTCACACCAACCAGAACAAAAAACATGGAAACATTTGTGAGGTTGGATACAAACATATAAAATAAAAAATTTGTGAGGTTTGACAAAACATATAAGCTGATGATTGTTCCATTTAAACATAAAATCACATCTTTAATCGTGCAACGTTTGAGTCGTTTCATCGTCATATGTTAGGTATTTAATGTAATTGACAAGTTTGTGAACAAATGGGACTTAAATTGATATATTGCAAAAGTCAAGGAGTAATGTGAAAATAGTAGAAAGTTGTGTTATATTAGGTCTAGGGTTCAAGAATGGAAAAGAAGGAAAAACGGCGCCGGAATATCACTAGCTTATCGCCAAGGTTTGGCTCAAGCGTTAGAAACAGAAAGTGCGTCACCTACTTGTCGCTTTGCCTTCGTTCAAGCGACAACATGTCGCTCATCCCTCGCTCAATCGACAATTCTATCCAAAAAAAAAAAGGTTATTGGCGCAAAACGTCCATACCTTTGAAGGGTTGTGTGGAAAACATCCATATGTTTGATTTTTTGGTGCGCAACGTCCCTACCTATCAAGTTTATTGTAGAAAACATCCCTACCTTTCATTTTTTGGCACAAAACGTCTCTACCTTTTGCATTTCTTTGCACTGAACGTCCTTTGCACTTTTTTTTAATTCAAAATGACCAATATACCCTCCTATGTAAATTGAACAAGAAAAGAAAAATAAAAAAGAAAGGGTAATTGGCACAAAACGTCCTTACCTTTGAAGGTTTTTGTGGAAAACACCCTACCTTTCATTTTTTGGTGTAGAACATCCCTACCTTTCACATTCTTTGCGCTGAAGGACCTTTTCACCAATTTTTAATATAAAATGACCCTTATACCCTCCTATATAAATAAAACAAAAAATAGAAAAATAAAGAACTAATTACAATCAAAGTCCTAAACGTTTTTAAAAAATACAAGTGAGTCCAAAATTTATGAAAATATTAAAAATAAAAAAAATAAAAGGGATTATTGACCCAGTAATATAAAAGGGACCCCACTCGAAGAGAGGCAGAGGAGAAGATAGGGGGTTTTATTTTTTTTTTTTATTTTTAATATTTTCATAAATTTTGGACTCACTTGTATTTTTTAAAAACGTTTAGGACTTTGATTGTAATTAGTTCTTTATTTTTCTATTTTTTGTTTTATTTATATAGGAGGGTATAAGGGTCATTTTATATTAAAAATTGGTGAAAAGGACCTTCAGCGCAAAGAATGTGAAAGGTAGGGACGTTCTACACCAAAAAATGAAAGGTAGGGTGTTTTCCACAAACACCTTCAAAGGTAAGGACGTTTTGCGCCAATTACCCTTTCTTTTTTTATTTTTCTTTTCTTGTTCAATTTACATAGGAGGGTATATTGGTCATTTTGAATTAAAAAAATGTGCAAAGGACGTTCAGTGCAAAGAAATGCAGAAGGTAGGGACGTTTTGT